TGAGCAAGAAAAAATTGTAGTATAATCACATATGCAAAAAAAATACTTTTTATCAAAAGTTAACATTCATCAAATAAAATAAAAGAGTAAATAAAGGACGAACAATTAATGGTGAATTTTTGAAATGTAATCCATTAACTGATTTTTTTGTATGGTGTACATTGTCGACCAGTAAATCATAACTAAATTGGTTTAAGAGTTCATTCATGTGAATTGGTTGAAAACCAGATAATTCATTTTGAATGATGGTCTACGATTTGCTGTTAAAGTGTGGATGTGTGGTATGGTTTGGGTGAAGCTGTCGAGTGTCCGTAAGACTATCGATACTCTCAGTTACGCCCACATCCACAGTCTCAAGATTCGTTCGAGTTTGTTCCCATTGTTTTGTATTATTTAGATTAAATGTTGCTTCTTTTGGACGTATATTATTATACGAAAATTCAGACATAAGATACATGTAGGATTATATTCTACTTTAAAAAAAATACTTACTATTATGTACATGAATACTAAATTTTCTCGTTGATCAAGAATTAATTAATTAACCGCAAGCATATTATCAAATTTGAACTTGTTTTTATAAACTCCTTTTTTAATTGTCCTTAAAAATAAAGGAATATAATAATATAAATAAAAATCGATTAATTTTCTTACCAATATTTCATTAATTTCTTCGAAATTATTTTTGAATAAAAATGAATATAAGAATTCCGCAAAACTCTTGGCTTGTAATTCAATGTTGATGCGCATCTTTTGAAAATCTGAAATATAAATGATGGTGAGTGAGAATACGATAAAAGATATGATTATAATTAACCGTTTGCTATTAAATCGTGAACAGGCTGGGAAATCCAGGTCGAGCAATCCGGCACGGAAACGGCCGGTTCCGCGGTATTCCAGCCCACAGCAGTCAGTTTCCTGCGGTTGATGCCCGGACCTTCATGTAATACTGCTTCATGAATCATCGACTTGGGTTGTGATCGGGTTTCTGTTAATAATTTTATTCTAAAATTAAAGAAATAAAATTCATATTGTATGCTGACAAAAAATATTAAATCCTTAGTATTACATGAACAACTGTTCTTGTGTTTCTTTTTTCTATTTTTATTATATTAACGATCGAATTTGAAAAAAATTTGGTGCATGTATATTTCGTACTGTATGTGTGTATTTGATCGTCCTTAATAATATACAAAAAAAACTAAATTTGATGCATTTAAGTCTATTCGCTTTCTTACTACTTCTTTGAAACCATTTTTTCTTAAAATATCAATTGTGGTAGTAATGCAAGTATTGAATCGTTTTTCTAAATTCATCTGAAACATCTAAAATGTATAATAATTAAATAAAGAAATAAATCGTCTAGACTAGACGATTTAAATCGACGTCGATTGTCCATATTTTACCTGTTTCTCGAAATTCGCTATTACTGATTAATAAAAAATAAATATCTTTATTTTTTAATTGATTTTATTGAAAAAGAATTAATCGATACAATTGACAAAAAAAAGTTCTATCGTCATGATCTATCATCATCATCTATGATAATACTTGATCAATTACTATCATCATCATCTATAATGATACTTGATCAATTACCATCAACCGTACGTCGTACAACTATACATCTAATATTATAGATTCAGATGAAGATTTTATGATGAAAAATGTTACCTGAACAAATTCTTTTATTATAGACAAGATAAATTGATCATTTTATACGATTATTAAAATTTCATATAATAAGTTCACAAACATTAGTAAATAATCTTTTTTATTTTCATGATAATCCCTGGTGAACGAATACGGTATCATAAACGGCCTCAAACGATAGAAAACGATAGAAAACGGTAGTCGTTTCATTTAATCGGTTCCGTCCCATCGGACTCAACAGCCGTAAAAACCACCGTTTTCCGTCGTTATCAGGCCGTATTCCGCATCATCGAAAACGGCAGCCATAGAGGATTACCATTTTTTGCCGTTTTTCTCCTAAAGTTTTCATCAATTGGTCTATATACTATGTCAGATAATGTATTCATTTCTATTTACTTTCTATATGAAAACTCATTGATAAAATGAAAAATGAATTGGTAACAATCTAAACAATGAGTTATTCAAATAGCATTATGGATAGGGTTATCGATGAAAAATTAAAATCATCCTGCAATAACTTATAAAGCTAAGTGTTTTACCTTCGGAACAAAGATTTTTATGAGCTATATAAACAGTGAATATTGTTTATTAATATACTAAACGATAAATCGAACACTAATATCTTTATTAATTTGTATTGTATTTCTTTATTTTAGATGATCTATAATGATATATTTAACGGTGAATAGTTTTGTAATTATTTAAATTCTTTTTTTTAATTTCTAGATCATCTATAACGATCAATTAAATGGTAAGTATTTATAGTTACACTAGGACGACAGACAGAAGTATGGTAGAGAAGGAGTGGGTGCTAGTAACAGAAAGCTGCTGCCTATTCAGATCATACGGCCAGATACGGACCGAAACGGCGTTCGGAATCATTGACCTGGGTAATAGTTTATGAAAAAAAGATTTAATATTATTTGAATATGTAGCTGAGATATGATTATGATTTGTAAAGGGATCTCTGCCAGTACTTGTTATGTATTTTGAAGTTTACGATCAAAGAAAAAAACAAATGAATAATGTCTTAATATGTTAGTAAGTTCTTTGAAAAATCAAACTTTGTGTACTTCTAATTATTTCATAAGATAAAATATTTTTCAAATTAGTTAAGAGTATGATGTATATAATGAAGAGTGTGAGTGTTCGTAATTTATATGCATCTCTCACCCACACCGACACCCACAACAGAAAAAAGTTAAATGACACGAAAAAGATAATATTGATTTTGTTTATTTTACTTCAAGAGTATATTTCTTCATTACAATTTCATATTTTTAGATCTTGAAAATGGCTGATGAAACTCTATTTCTAACATTAATGAATAATTTACATATATATCTTAAATCTATTCATTTGGTAAAAGAAAAAACTGATTGTGATAAATATTATAGAAAATTCAATTATCAAACGAAATATAGCTATAAAAACATAATAAATAGAATATCAGCAAAAAAGAAATAATATAATCGTTATCTATGTCAAGGTAAGTATTTTATCTTTAACAAAAATAAAATACTGATTGTTTTTTTCTGAATTGTAGAATGAACTTATGAAAGAAAGGCAACAAAGTGTTGCTTTAAGTTCTACCATCAACGATCTGCAAGAGAAGCTGTCTATTACATTTACTTATACTAAAAGAAAAATGAATGAATCTTATGGAATATTGATCGGTAAGTTAAAATCACACGATAATGTAATTTTTGTTCAGAAATGTTCTTTGATCTATTTTTATTTATTCATAGATGAATTTGATAATAATGTCGATGAAAAATCAATCAATGAATACTACAAAATATCGATAAAGGGTGTGGATGTGGGTGGGGATGTTCACTTCATTATTATTTATACTCACATAACACCCACACCCACACACTGACCGCTTTCGACCGGAATACCGCGGAACCGGCCGTTTCCGTGCCGGATTGCCCGATCTGGATTTTTCAGCCTGTTTCGGACCTAATAACAAACGGTCAATTATAATCATGTTTTTTTTCGTATTTTCATTCACCATCATTTTATTTTTCAGATCTTGAAATGTCCAGTATCAACATTGAATTAGAAACCGAGGAGTTTTTAGAATTACAAGTAAAGTAATTTGTAAAATTATTAAATTCAGTTTTATTCAAAAGTAATTTCAAAGTAATAAATGAAAAATGGGTAAGAAAAATTAATCGATTTTTGTTTATATTTTTATATTCATTTATTTTTAAGAACAACATAAAAAAAAGGAATTTATCAAACACAATTTAAATTTGATAATATGGTCAATGAATTAATTATTGATCAACGAGCACATTTACTATTTATCTACATAATAGTAAGTATTTTTTTAAAAGTAGAATATATAATCCTACATGTATCTTATGTCTGAATTTTAGAATGATATTGAACGCTCAAAAGTAACAACAATCAATCTGACTGTTGAACAACATTGGGAAAGTAATCGAACGAGGTTTTTTGATATTCAAAAAAAAGATGGGTGCGGGTGTGGGTGTCGTTGTGAGTTGAATGAGAACTACAGTCACACCCACACCCTAGTTTTTTTTCCTTGTTGTGTCCAGTATAGTAAACAATAGAAAAATGAAATACTATCTTTTTCTATAATGAAATTGTCATTGAGTAAAATTAAGAATAGGTAATTTTATTACAAAAATTTCTTTGAAAACTGAATAAACTGTTGTGAATACATATCAATGTTTAAAAATATATATATTCTCTTATAGAATATGAAAGTTGTGAACTAAATCAATATCTCGCTACTTTATTGAAATAACATGATGATCTCTTTGGTATTATTCGTTATATAAGACTTCTAATATAATCAAATTTCAATTTGAAGCAAAAATACTTGGTAAAACCAACTTGAGACATTTAATAATGAAGTAATATACTAATATGTGACTATTATTAATTGTAAAACTATATTTGGAGATATTTCTTGAAAATCTCTTTAAAATATCTCAAATTAGAACTGAACCATATCCGAACGAAAGTAATTGAATAAACTTATTCTCTTTTCTTTTCAATAACAATAAAATTAATGTCAATGCAAAACACAATATTTGAATTTATACTATAGAATCTATTTGAAAACTTTGAGATTTATTTTCCTAAATCGTTAGAGAAAGATGTTTTCATTAACTCCATCTAAGTGTCAACTGAATCTTGTAAATATATCTATGGTTATTAGAAAAATAAAGGGCAACATTTCTTCGCTAACAATTTCGACTATATAGAACAATTGATCATTGTTTATATTGACGGTGTCAATGAAATAGTATAGATGAATATATATATAGAGAGATGGATAAGTTGAAAATAATATATCAACAAAAACAAAGATGGAATATTCGTGCATTGGATTAAATAATTTACCTGATGAAATTCTTCTTCATATTTTTCAAAATTTGAACAATATTGAAGTACTATATTCTTTCCATGGTGTCAATCAACGACTAAACCAAATCGCTCATGATCGAAGTTTTACAACTCAGCTGACTTTTGCCAAATGGTCATCAAATCATTTTTTCGATCTATTTTCTTCTGATATGATGCTTAATCGATTTTGTTTACAAATTTTACCTTCGATTCATGAGAACATTCAACGACTTGATCTTGATTCATCATCTATGGAAGATGTTTTACGTGTTGCTAATTATCCTAATTTACACACTCTCGGTCTTTATAATATTGATGAAAAGTCAGCTGAATGTCTTACTGGTAAGAAATTTTCATTGAATTCTTTTTTGAAACATTTATTAAAGACTATATCATTGATTATATATGTGTTTAGATAAAACTCTTTCGAGTATTTTCAAAAAACAGATAAGAACACTTTTTATTACAATATATAATAATGATGATGATCATAAAGCAATGACACTATCAGTGGCCAAGATATGTGATAAAATCTTCAATGTTTTCACTGGTCTAACTACATTTGTATTAAATGAATCATGGTATAAAACTCGTGTTCAATTAACTTTTGACAATCCATTTTTTCCTAATATTCGTTGTTCAACTCTTTTGAAATTAATTATCAGAGTAGAAATCTTTGATGATTGTCTTTATCTTCTCGATGGTCGTTATGATCAACTTCATACATTCCATGTCGATTTGGTTAAAATTTCATTTCCAGATGGTTCTATAAATCAAGTTAGTTTTATAAAAGAAATTCCATGTTGTCAACGAATAAAATATTTCACTTTTTAGGATCATTTACCAAATCTAAAGTGTTTTTCTCTTTCCTGTAAAAGGGAAACATTCGATTATGAAATAGCAGTGCTACCACTTCTCTATCGAATGTCAAATCTAGAAGAACTCGATTTATGTCTTAAGGTGTGTGGTTCGAACACATTGATTGATGGAAAACATTTAAAGACAAAAATTCTCAAACACATGCCACGATTAAATCAATTTACATTTTTTATTCAATCATTCAATTATATTCGTAATGGAATGAGTATTCCATCGACAGAAGATATTCAAAAGACATTCATTGACTTTCCAAATAATAATATCATTTCTCATGTGGATTTTTTTCCAAATTTTGAACGAAGTCAATGTCACATTTACTCTTATCCATTTCTCATGCGATATTATACGGGTATTTCAAATAGTTTTCCAGGTGGATTATTTGAACATGTTCGTGCAGTATCATTATATGATGAACGTCCTTTTGAACATGAATTCTTTCTTCGAATTCAAAAGTCATTTCCATTTATGAAAGAATTATCTTTAGTTAATCGTACAGCACAAAACCGAAAGCAATCTAATCAATCGAACAGCCATAATCAAAATTCATCACTTATTAAATACACTTCTCTATGCAAACTTTCTATTGTGGGTGTTCATGATGATTACGTCGAAGAATTTCTTCTTGATACCAAAACGTATTTCCAAAATAATCTTATTCTTTTGGTCAATTATGAATGTTTAGAACGAGTAACACATGATTTCAGTAGAGATGCTACTCGAACTAATTGTGGTAAAATAAGTAAATTATATTTCCAGGGTCGAAAACAACGTTGGCATTCTTTAAAAAACTATTTTCCTTATGCAAAAAAATGTTATTTATCAGAGTGAAAGAGAAAAAAAATCAAGTGTTAAATAAAAGAAAAATTGTTTTTTTTGTCTGTTGTTGTAAAAAAATAAAATTTCTGTCTGGCTGAAAATAATTGTGTGTGATAAATAAAAATCTGACAAAGAAATTATTCTTGTTCAAACATAGCAAATGCAATGGAAGTTTACATCGAATACCCTTTCGACTAGGAGAAAGTGGTAGGGTAATTTTCAAACCAAAATTTTACCTCAGGGGGTGTTTACTCTCTCTGATTATTGGATTTCCTACGATAAATACCTTTCCTAGAGACTTCGTAGGCGTGATTGTTCGTCGACAATTTAAAAACGGAAATATACAAAAACATGTACTTTTTCACATTAGGAGCAATAAATTTTAGGGTACTCAAAGCAAAGCAAAATGAATAGACTATATAAGATAACAAACAACGACAGAGAACCGGTAGTATACATCGTCAGGGTGTGGGGAAAAGTAAAGTCACACTTACAGCTTCTATAAATATATGTCATCTATCAGAACAATATAAGGTCATAAATAATCAATGAAACTACTGACTAATTTAGTAAAAATATTTATCATTTATAAAAATAAGATTCTTCGTTTAATCTGAATCGGTATATCTCGGTTGATAGTTTTATTATCACATTCTATATATTCTTGATTGTACATGGTCACATGATTCATTATGTATTGGTATAGATGCATATAATTGATCGATGTGTGTTTGTCCAACATATAAATTTGGTTCTCAATGTTTTGTTAAAGATACAAAATGAGAATTAAATGATAATAAAATATGTAACAGCAGTGATCGATGTCTTCGATCGGTTTTAAATAGACAAACATTACAACCATATACATGTATTTGTTCGAAAGGCCTTCATGATGATTGTTGTGAACATGAAGAGAACAAAATTTATTTATCATTTGAAAAACAAATTCGTTCATTCGAAACCATATTAATTCGTTTTATTAAAACTGAAAAAACTTTTATATCAAAAAGAACAGGAACTTTTAAAAAAATATCTTCTATGAAAGAATCGATTGTTATTTCTTGGTCTGATCTAAGTAATCGTATTCTAATAGAAGATATGAAAAAGAACTATTATTTTATTGATTCTCAAGATTTTCCATGTGATAACGCAAACTTAACTAAACAAGCAAAATTATCAGATCGTTGTCCACATATTAATGAATTATTTAATAAAACAATTGTTGACTATCATCCTCTTCGACGTATAAAATATTATCATTTACCATGTCAAACTTTTTCAATCAATTTTCCATGTTTTTACGATGATGCTCATTTATGTTTTTGTTATAATCATGCAGGACAACGTTTAACTAATTGTTTCCAATTTAATCATACAATGAAATATGATTGTTTAGGAGAAAATGAATATATAAATGATGATCCATATTTTCTAATTGGATTAAAATGTTCGAAAAAAGCAACCTGTCTTTGTCCTTCATGTTCTTATGGAAAACGATGTCAATTTATTGCAAGTAGATTTAGTTTATCATATTTAACCATCAATTAGTTTAATAAATGAATCAAATATTATATTTATTATAATAGGTTTAATTAATGGACTATTTACTCTGATAATATTTAAGAGTAAAATATTACGTGAAGTTGGTTGTGGTATATTTATTAGGTTCATCAATAACAACATTAATTATAATATTTTTATTTGCATTAAAATTTTCTATCCTTATTTTTGCATAAATGTGTCAAATATCAAATCGATCATTTTTACATATTCAATGTATGTTATTAGATTATTTTCTTCGAATATTTATTCATATAGATCAATGGTTAAATGCATGTGTAGTTTGTGAAAAAGCAATAACAGTTGGTAAAGGTGCTTATTTTAATAAAAAGAAAAGCAAAAAAGTAACTAAATTTATTATTATTTTACTTTTAATTTTTAATATTTTAATATTTATTCATGAACCACTTTATCGACATTTAATTGATGAAATTGATGAAGATGAAAATGAAAAACGAATTTGGTGTGGTGTTAATTATTCATCTAAATTACAAATCTATAATTCAGTTATAACTACATTTCAATTTTTTGCTCCATTTATAATTAATTTTATTTCAGCATTTATTCTTATAGCACATAAACCTCGTCGACAATCAATTATTCAAAGACAACGAAATTTTAAAGATATTTTAAAAGAAAATTATCGAGCACATAAAAATCTATTTATTGCATCTATTATATTAGTGATTCTTGCGTTATCACGTTTAATTATTTCTTTTACATCAAAATGTATGCAATCAAGCAAAGACTCGTGGTTATTTCTTACAGCATATTTTATTTCATTAATTCCAGCAATGCTTACTTTTATTTTGTTTGTACTACTATCGAAATTTTATAAAAAAGAATTTTTTTAAATCAATTGTTCAATATCGAACTCATATACAACGACGTTTACAGATTTTATCATAAAAAAAAGTATAAATATATCGAACTTTAATAGTAATATTTACACTTTATTTTTTGTCAATAAATATGAACATTAATTATCTAAATAAATTATTTAATCAGTCTTATGTTATATTTTTTTATTCTTGTAAGGACTGAATTATTTCTCAACATTGTCATCATTTGTTCTCATAACACTTTATGTTGAGGGTGGATGTGTGTTGAT